TCCCCACAAAGAGCAAAGGTCTGTTTCGATCGGATCTATGCTGCAGTTTGTCATGAATGAGGTAGTAGTCTAATGACAAACCCTTAGTCAGAGCCTTTATATTTTGACTAAATTGGTTTATACATTTGGTTGCATATAGAGTATTTTGGGAGTCAGCCTGCAAGCTGAATACCTGAGGTGATGACATTGAGCAAATTGAGTTGAACTGGTTTTAATGTTAAATCACTTAAGCTGCAGTCTCATTTCTACTGCTTTTTGACTAGTCAATACATTTGTACTTGACATTTCTGCATAAAAACATGGAACTTGAATAGTTTCACTGAAGATTGTTATTCCAGGAGAATCTCATACTGGCCTAAGCCAGCACATACTACCTGCCAGGAGCAGAGTGTAACGTGACGCTTCACTCACTGTCTCCTGTCTATTCTCTTTGGTTGCCCTCACTGTGATTGTCACACACACACTAACACACGCCCACACACCTGAAGCCCCACAGGATTTTGATTGAACAATGTAATTAGTTATAATTAGCCCTTATTAAAATTGTTAAGGAGCCTCCCTAGTGACTCTGGCTGCAGGTGAGTGTCTGCAGAAGTCTAACACACACATCCGCACAGACACAACCTCTAAAATGACAACTGCAACAGCTGTGGACTCTGTGCCTTGATGTTTAATAAATGATGACAATGTCTCACCGAAAAGAACTTGACTTCAATAGAGCCCTTTCAATGTATTTTGGCTCTTTTTTCCCACAAATGTTATTATGTGATGAGTGTAAATGTGTAAGTTTGTAAGACTTTTACTTTTCTTTACCTCTGTAGCTAGGCAATGAGCATAATTATAACTCTGTCATGCATTGGATGATATCTTTGTTTGAGCATAACTCAGCTCAAAATGTTCCTTTCGGAAAGATGAAAGCGATGACAGTAATGTCAATGATGTCAAAATCGGAATTGAAAATTGAAACATAGTGGGAATTTCTAAAAACAGAAAAATATCTTTATTTGGATAATGGTGTCTTTGAGATTTGCTTTTAAAAGACCCTTTTTCCCCCAATATTAGGCTAACCCTAAAAAACACATCTCTTCTGGGTACAATCAACGGCAAACAATTTTATTGCAGATGTTTCACTCATGCATACCAACAATGCTTAGACAAAAAATCGAATGGCAAAACATAATCTAAATTCGAACTCTCTCCTTGTTAAAGGGGAACCTGCTTTCCCTTAAGAGTTTGATTATGTGATGGATCAAACAATGGTTGCTTTTAATCGAAAAGTGAAATGAAAATGATTAATGGCTTTTAAATTTAATTTTTTATCTAAAAGGGAGGATCATCTTGCTCTCTTAGCTTTTTGAATTTTATTACGGTAACTAATTGCTATAAAATGCTTTCTTATAAACAAAAAGAGTACAGGCAAATGCAACATTAATAAGGTGCATGTCTATGCTAAGGAGAAGCTACAGAGGCCATGGAACCCAAAGCCGGATGTTTAGAATTCTACCCTCATGCACAATATATTATAAATGAATTTACTTCCACAATCTATTAAAGATATGTTAAAAACTAAACTCCATCCCAAAAAGACAATTAATACAAACATATTGAAAAAGTTATAATTTCAGATTTAGATTCTACCCTTGTCCTTAGGATAGGATCTCATGAATAAAATTATTGGCTGTGTAACAGTATTAGTAAGTTTCACTTACAGGTTTTACTATTTATTTCAAATTATCTCATAACCATCTAAGTTCCATCTCAGTTCCACCTTTTCTGTTTAGTTCAATTCAATTTCAGTTCAGTTTATTTATATAGCGCCAATTCACAGCACATGTCACCTAAAGGCACTTTACAGAGACAATTCAACCAGATCATGCAGTCAAATTGGTTCAAAGTTTTCTATCTAAGGAAAACCGGTTGTTGCAACATCTCATTGATTCAAAGGCAATCCCTCATACCAAGCATGCTTGTAGTGACAGTGGAGAGGAAAAACTCCCTTTTAACAGGAGGAAACCTCCAGTAGAACCAGACTCAGAGTGAGCGGCCATTTGCCGAGGCCGACTGGGGTTTGGTTCCTCTCTGGGTGTGTTTTTGAGATGCAGATGGCTTGTTTTCACTAAAGAGATGTGACATGCAACCAGTTTAAATTCAAATGGGGCTCTTTGCAGACATCAGCCACTTAGCTTCGCCCACTGCTGGGGAATCTTTACACCTGAGGTTGAAGAGTGAATTCAGATCTATTCCTTCTGCTTAGGTTTGCGCCAGATTTCTTCAGTTGCCTATAGTGAAAATAACCTCTTGTTATCAAGTCTGTCAGTTACAGTAATTTGAAAAGGCCTCATATAAGCACCGTCATGTCATTTGTCATCAGAGATGTCAAAAGTATTAATGTTTATTACTCAAGTAGAAGTAGAAATGCTTCTGTTTAAAATGACTTATTGAGTAGTTAGTGTATCAACTTCAGCTTTTCACTCAAGTAAAAGTGTAAAAGTACCCTTTTTAAAACTACTTAAAGTATAAAAATGTGAAGGACAGATGCATATTAAAGGAACATTTTTCTACAATTCTGGATGATACCTTCCTTAGACCTAGTTTTCTTATTTATCTAACTAATGTCAGCAGTGTCAAATTTAACTTTGCATCATCTTGAAAAACTTTTTATTTGGGTAGTGGTGAACACTGAGTTGGTGCAGCACCAACTTCAACCACAAAGAAATTAATTGTCTGGAAGAAACTAATGATTTTGATGTTTTTAGCAAAAATGAGCTGGAATGAAACAAAAGCAAGGAGTCTATTTCTAAATTGTAAGGAGTAGAAAGTAGAGGTAACTGCAAAAAAAATGGACGGAGTAGAATTAAAAAGTTGTTTAGAAAATAATTACTCCAGTAAAGTATAGATAGCCAAAATTTCTACTAAAATAAGGTAAGGAAGTATTTTTACTTTGTTACTTGACACCTTTGTTGGTTATGTTAAGAAAAAGAAACTTTATTTATAGTTACCACACTTTGGGATTTTATGTGATAGAATTGTGAAATAATCTTTATGAGCCTCTTTCAATTGTGCATGTGTAAAAATCCCAACATTGTCGACTGGGATTAATGTTGCAAACCTTTTGATTAATTTGCATGGCTGATGAAGGCTGATAAGTAGAGCGTTTGCTGACTGTATCTTTCAGAAAACCCCCAACTACCTTAGTAAAACGAGACGAGCTTAGAAGGAGCTGATCAGCGCTGTAATAGGACTCCAAAGCTTCAAATGAGGAAGTAAATAAAAGGAGAGAGATGGAATTAAAACAAAGGCAATTTATGGATAAGAGCCAATTACCGTGCATCCTGATGAAAGCTATTTAGCTTTTTGTGTTTATGAAATGAGCTGGTGTTTCTGTTAGTAATCAAAAGAAAGACTCTCTGATCGGCAATAAAGAAAATTACCGAGGACGAGGAATTGAAGCCTGTTCTCACTTACAGTAATATAGTCTATACATTTATCCAGAGTGATTATCACTGTGGATTAATTTCTCTATTAATTTTCTTATCTTCAGAATGTGCAATTTATGAACTCCACTGCGAAGCAATTTGCAATACAATCTTTCCTTTTCCACCCATTCTTTTAAGATCTTCGTCATTATTGCAGTAAAAATGAAAACAGAAACATACAGTTTTATTATAAATTATTCAAACTCAGTCTTGTCCAATCAAATCCAAAATTGGATGTTTTCTTTCAGCTTAAAGCATCTGATTCTGATCACTATTTCAAATAAAATGGCATTTAAACCAAAACTAATGTTTTATCATTTTCTTTATTATATTTAGATTAAATATCTAATCATAGCTCAGTGCACCCAATCCAGTTCAACACAGTTAAATTTAGGTTAAGATCAATTTAACATCATATTCCATTTTTATATAAACGCTCTGCATTCTAAATAAATCAATCTATTTGGTCAAATTTTAGGCCAGCTGATTTAAAACATTTAAATGAACACCAATAGGTGTGTTTTTAATATATTCACACACAATTTAGTGGGATTCCAGTTTGTAATTCAGTATAATTGAGTACATTGTTCTGCTAAGTCCTAATTACATCAATTTGCTTTTTTTCCACAATCTAACATATTTTTACTGTTTAATAGATTAGTTTTCTAGATGTTAACATTGTTAAAACAGTCAAACAATAATGATGCATCAGAATCTATCAGCTACCAGCAGATAAAGCAACGATGCTAAATAAGTGCAGCCGATATAATAAGAGTTTAGTTTTCTTTGCAAAGAAAATAAAATTCTTCTTTCTTTTTTTTTAAGTAGGCATATGCATGTGTCTTTAATTAGCAGCTACTGTAGCAATGCACTTTAACTTAGCTGCTGTTTCCCCAGAAACAGCAGCCAAGAACACGCATGAAAGTCCAATTATAGGACACCATCGGTACTCCATGTTCTTCTCAGACTTAGAGCTCAAAAATGGATTTCAAATATCTAGCTCCATGATAAAACAGGAACATTTTCTGTTACATACTCATCAAACAGATGAAAGACTACCTGATATGATCCTCTCAATGCATCCTGTTGTTCATTGTTGTACGGCAACAAAGAAGGATTTACATTATCTACTTTAAGGAATGGCCAGTGACATTCTCCCCAAAATCTAAACTTAAGAGAGTGAAAGCAGGGATGAATGATAGAGCTTCCTGTCAGTAAGACCCACTTTTCATGTTATTGCCTCAAAAAGACAACAGATGAAAATGTCAAGAGGTCTTAAGGCTTGAAAAGGGGTCTGGGTGAAGAATTCTTCTTCAGAAGACGAGTCAGATAAAGTCTGAAGCAGCGGCAGTGCCTAAGCACAGTAAATACAAAGGATTTTGTTCTTAATGCGCTCCATAGGGAAAATGTGACTGACAGCTCTGGTAATCATTTTATGTTGTATACAGTAACCTTCAGTCACCTCTGGTGAAATTATAACTGGAGTTAAAGTTTTCTGTTAAAGCTATGTGCACATCTACTCACCCGAGAGGCTTTTCCAAGCGACTTCCCAGTGATCCAACCACCTCTCCCAGGGTGCAGTAGGCTTGGCCCAAGAAGTCCTGCAGAAATTAAAAAGATATGAATCTTTTTACATATATTTTACATAGAAATGCCAAAATCATAAATAAAATTATTTTATTTTAGTTGTTAAACACAACAATGAACTTAAAACATGTGCTTTTACTGTACAATGCTCCATGTTTATGGTTATTTACATGGTTATTTATATGGTTTATTATGTTGTGAAGCTTTTGTGGCTTATCCTCCATGTCAAACGTGTCAATGACTGCCTGCTGGACAATTGCAGAATCAGCAAGACCATAATATAACATTTTTATGCTAGAAAAATCCCAAATGTCTAATCCTTAAGTATAATCAATGCTTCTAAGAATAATAAACAAATCAACTGTATCATTCTGGATAAAACTATATGGAGGTACAGTATGTGCTGCACATATTGGGTTGAGTACATTCTAACTCCGGTATATATACCAGCACAGTACTCAACATTTAAATTAAGTGCAGATGAGTCTCAGTATGAGTTTCTTACATAGCAGACTGAGACTTATAAAATAAAATTGCCATTTAATAACTTTTTCCATTTTTTACTCAGAAGTAAAGCCTGCATAATGCATCTTAATTTTAGTTTAGAACATTTCTGAGCACTACTAACATAATGGATACCTTTTGCTCTACTCAGTAGTATCTTCTTGCAGATATGTCTGCGAAAAGATACTTTTTTAGATATTTATCATAATAGAAGGGGTTTCCGAAAATGAAATGAAAAACATATAAAAAAGTTGTTTTTTTTTCTCTGTCTCTGATGAAGAAATATAAACCACTGAGTAACTGTGGTTACTGCCAGCATGGGGTCCACCAGAGACCTGGCTGTGTGTAGATAATGGCCAATTAGACGAAACAGCAAAACTGATCAAATAAAGTTAAAAGAAGAGATATTTCTGTCCCAATCATCCAGATAACAGGGAAGTGTAAAATGAAAGAAAAAAAAAACAGAAGAAAGAATATTGTGAAATAATTGTAGCTACAAAGTAAAGCTATTAAAGCAACTCTGTCAGAAAGTTCACATTCTTTACGGTTTTCTTCTGAATAAGCATTTAAAGCTGAAATAGTTTTTGAATTTTGATGTGGTTTCAGTTTTTGCAACCACAAAGTTCCTAAAGAAAAATACCTATTTTCTACATTAATGCTGCTATATGTTTAGGCCACTGGAGGACATAGAGACCACTTGTTATTATTCTACTTTATTCTATCTCTAGCATCCCATTCAGCAGCGTTTCTTCGGTTCCACCCATAACTTTATGTTCTCTGTGCTTTTAATTTTATAGTACTTTCATCTGGTCTGTTCTTGTTTGACTGCGACTCCATCCTGGATTGAAATATCAGCCGGGCTGCTGCCATCAACATCTCTATTTATATATGTTGGAGTTGGGCTTGTTTTTTTTTCTGTGTAGTGCAGTTTCTTTTACTGTAATTAGCTGCATGTGCTCTTTCATCCTCTGACAAGAGAATTGGCTCGGACCTTGTCTGCCTGGCTTTCCTGGATGGGGCCAACAGTGGAGCTAGTTACAAGTTATCTTGTGTATATCTGCTTCTTTCTGTGTGTCTGCTTCTATCTCCTTTAACCAAAGTCTCAAGAGGCTCATGAGAAGGCAGCTCACACTGAGCCTGGTTCTGCAGTTAAAATACATTTTTTCCTCTCCACTTTCATGAATGCCAGCGATGCACCAACACAATACCTGTATCCGATATCTGCTTCATTACTGATATCTGTGTTAATAGCTTATTTTTTAACAATGTTTGTGTCATCGTGAATGTCTTCACTTACATGGCAAGATGTGTGGTTCATTTAATAGTTTACATATGGGATATTGCCTGATATGCTCAGCCCAGGTATCGTATCCGATTGGATCTGAAAAACCTGAATCAGTGCATCTCAAATGAGTGCATGCTGGGGATTGCTGAAGAATCAATCAGAAAACTCAAGTAAAAAACGTAGCAAGAAGGAGCATGTCTTGCAAGTCAATGACTGGATGCAATCAACTGGTTTTCCTTCACAGAAACTTTTAACCAGTCTGACTGTATTGTCTCTGTAAAGGCTGTTGAGATAAAGTGCTATAATATTGGTGCTATATAACTAAAATGAAAGGAAACTTGGCTGTATGCCACAGCTGGCTGCACACTGTAAATTAGCATCTCATGTGAAGCTTCCTATTAGTAGATTGAAAACTGAAATTCTTCTGTTCAAAGCAGAACAAAGTTACTCTAAATGCAGGCTCAATTCACAATGATGAGCTGTTATTGTATATATCTTAACACAAGAAGGGGATAAAGTCGTGGATTTGGGACCAAACTATAGCGCTGGGTCCCTGTTTTTAAAAGAATCCAAACTGAACTTCATAATGGGAAATTTAAAAACATGTCTGTTTAAATCTGTGAAAACCTGCACTGGGTTATTGTACTCTGGTTAGAAATTTCTTTTTAGAAATCAGGTTTTGATTTGCCTTTTCAAACTCTGTCATCTGGGTTTTCATTTGTAAAAAACATTACTATATTCATATAACCGAAGAAAAAGAGGTCAGCTTTTTTGTTGTTAGGGCGATAAAATCCCACTACAGAACTGCTGTACCTTCATAGATTTTTCACAGCTGCTTCTGTCTTACCATGGAGATTGCTAAATTGGAATCACATTTCCTTTTAGAGCATAAATATGAAGATATGGGGAGTCTTGTTCCAAAAATCTAACCCTAAGATGGGAAAAAAAAGATGTAGAATTCATTGAATTTTACTTTTACTTACTTTTCCTGTAATATAACCATCTTACTTTCATAGGTAAATATTTTTATAGGTTCCCTCAACTAATTACATAAATATAACCCAATTTAACAAATATGGATTTAATTTCATTGAACAAAATATGGAGGCGGTGATGAAACATTTAGAAGGTAATTTCTCTGCTACTCAATTGCAAAGTAATATTTTAATAGTGTTAAATGGGAATGATAGATAAATAAACTGGATGTTTTGTTAAATCCAAAGTCCAATACTTATAAGGTAACTATGATGCAAATCCCAGTCTTTAGATTCAGAGTTAACTCTTTTTTTTTTGGATCAGATAATAAAAAACTTTAAGTTGGTGTTAATCTTTTTCTAAATACTATAAACATTATATCCAGGTCCAATATTTAATTTCATAGCACTTACTTTGGGACAATTAAAAAAAACAAAACTTGTGTTCCTAGCTGCTTTATTATTAAGCCTTTCCATCTGTTTCAGCTTCATGGACAGCAGCTGGCTTCCCTTGTTCAGTTGTGCAGATATGGTAAGCCTACTGTACCAAATCAAGCTGTCCAGACGCCTCCAGTTTACTAATCTCAAAGAGGTCAAAGCAAGGATCAACATAGCCATCTGCAGTCTAAGATTTTTAACTTGCAGTCTAGTATCAGAGAAGGCACCTTGCCAGTCTGCAGGCGGCAAAATACAAACTGGGAAGCAACAGAATGACGTGGTTAGCAATTTAAAAATGAGACATTATGAGACAACCATGGATTAGTCATAAGCTGGGGCGTTTGTTATTTTGGTCAAAATAAATAAGGTGTATGATTAAAAGGTTAGGGGAATAGACAAAACCAATCAATGATGGAAGTTATTAACTTTAAAATGGGAAATAATATGTCTATTTAAAGCTGGAAATGTAGAGATGTTAGTCAGAAATGTTAGTGTTAAATCTGAGTATAGTAAGAGAAAGTACTTGTCCTAACTTGTGAAGACAAAAAAAAAACAATTTGACGATTAACTACTGTGAAAAGCATCATAGTAAAATATTTTACATTTTTAATATAAAAACATATAATCCAACGGTGCATAACGTTAACCAGTCCATCATAGCTGCTTGTATTTTTTTATATTTTGTCTGCCAGATATTCAATAAGTATGCAGCTCATTTGCATGAGCGCAGCACGTTTCATTTCACTCCTTTCCTTCCTCAGGGAGGTAAAACCCCATCTAATGGCTTTCCCTATGGCATCCGCAAGAAGGCTTGAAATATGCAGTGCTACCTAAGAGTTCATGTGTGTGTTTCCCCTTTAATCAGATTACTGATGTTAAACAAATGAGGCAACAAGAGAAAGGACAGAGAGAACAATGGATAAGAACAATGAAACAAACCAGATCATAGGCATGAAATGCATTTAAAAATGCAGAATTAAGAAGATGAATTAGCTACTAAAGTAATCAAATGCTTTTTTATATTTTTTCACACTACAATCACAAACTTTAATGTATTTATTGGGATTTTATGAGATGGACCAACATAAAAGAGGCAAGCAGTTATAAAAAAAAGGATGATATATGCATCCGTAAGGACTGAATTTGGATTCTACCTCCTTTTGTCAAAAGGGTTGTCCTCCTGGAAGGAGAGCATTGGCCCCAGTTAGGTGTCTTTTAGCCGGTCTTGTTGCTCTAATTCATAACTATATCAAAATGTCTTTACGTTTCAGGAAAATACCAAAACATAGAAAATATTCTGAGGTATAAATACTTTGGTGAAGTTGTGTATTTTTCATTACCTAACCCTAACCCTATTCATTAGTCACCTAGTTCAGAGAAAAAGAAGAATCAGAAAGAATGGCTTTAAACCTGTTCAGGTCAAAGGTGTGAATGTATGTGTAGAAAAAGAAACACTTAGAAAAATTGTAGAAGATTTTAATACATTCTGTTATCAATTATCTCTGGGTTGCTCTGCTCCTAAAGACATATGGTGGTGCAATGATGTAAAATGCACAGATATATCTGTATCAGATTGAAACTATTATCCAGTACAATTCAAAGTCATAAATATATGTAAAACATACACCCTAGCACAAAGTCTACCTTCATTATTACACCTGTTTAAACCTACTAGCTGTTTAGCTGTGAAAATGGAGGAGCTATAATAGTTGTAGGAAAACAGCTCCACAGCATAACACTCCCATCACCATGCTTAAAAGTTGGTTAAATAGTAGATCTAAAGACCTCTGATCTATTCAAGAATTGTGCCTAAATTGGTGGCTTGAGATCCCAACATTTGTCTTTTAGAAACATGACGTTCCTGCAGCCTCAAGCACATGGTGAGTTTATTTATTGAGGCTTCTTGGGTTGTTTTTGAATATCAAAACTCATTACATTTAGTTTAGTTTAGAGTATTTTTATCAAACTGATTGCAATGATCACAAACACACAAAGTTTGCCTTAGAATGGATAAAGGAAGTTATTGCAGCCTAAACACAAAATGTCTGGACTATAGATAAAAGTTTTAGAACACATCATATAATTGAGTCTTAAATCATTTAGCCAGGATTATATCAGAAAATCTTTGATGGCGACAAAAGATGAGTTGTTTCTGCAAGAAACCTAACCAACTATTAATGTAGTTTTGTGTTTACATATCAGATTGTGGATATAACTTGACCCTAAACCAAGAAAATCAGCAATAGGTTCTGGACCCATTGTAATTTCTTTATTGAATGCTTATTTTTGCCAAAATAAAGTATGCAATATAAACACTGAAAGCTCTGTATTAAAACCATAATGTATGCCCATCCTTGAGGGTACTGTACAGTGTTGAATGTCCTGACCAGAACAGTTAAGGTAAAAGGATTAAATGTCTGCACTCTATAACAGTATTAAAGCTCCCCAAACAAGTTTTGGTCTTTATTAAATAAACAGAATCGCATAAAAGCAATCCACGTTTCCCAAAATAAACAAAGATGAGCTGCAGGGTAGACTGTGATATCTTCCCTGTTCTCATATTTATTTTATGTTTCTTCCAATAATCCACAGCGCTTTCTAAAAAGAGCCAACAGTCACACCTGTGAATCCATCTCATGTGTTATGTGGGCAGCGTGGTCGGCCCGGGAGCTTAAAAGCAATAAATGATAAGGGCTTAATGTTGTGTTGCCTTTGGGCAAAGAAAACATGGCTGTCTGGGAAAAACGGAGCAAAAATATTGAGCCAATTTGAAAAGATTCACAACTCAATGTAATATTACTGTACAAACACAAAATTAGCTGAATAACTGCATTGCCCAGACCAACTTACTGCTTAACTCATAAATTCTGGATTTAATTCTAATAGAACCATTGTGACAACATGAAGTATGCGGTGGGACCCAACGAATCAAATCCAGAGCTATTCATCTGTAAAGTAGACAACAGAACAAAGGAGTAAATCTAAGGAATGGACGACCTACAAAAAGAATACATCCAAGGTACAAACTACTGCTAACCCAAAAGGATCATCTCATCCTTTCAAAAAAAAAAAATAATAACAATTGACAATCCTTGAAACCTTTGAGAAGAATTTCAGATCATAGAAACATCAAAACATGACGTCAGTAGTGTAATGGTCTGAGGTGGCTTTGCAGCCTCAGGTCATAGATGACTTATTTCGCCCTTTCCCTGAAAATCTAAAAAAAAAACAACCAATGTATTCAGTTTGGGAGCTGAAGCTCAAGCACATAAGAGTTAGGCATCAGGACATTGATCTGACTGAGTTTTTTGAGTGGTGTTGTGAACAATATTGTTCATGACTTTATATTTCATACTTACTTGTATTTGCATGACTATAATATATCTATTTATATATATTTTTTTGTTTTACAGTATGCTAACCGTTATGTGAACCGACCTCCTTCATCTTGGCTGCCCTGAAGCAGAATTTATTTATTTAATAATAATAATAATAATAAATCCAATTTGTACCGCACTTTTCATTAAGAAAAAATCTCAAAGTGCTACACAGTGCAAATAAAATCAAAGATAAAAATCAACCATAAAAATCATGTGGTCATTAACAAAAATCTCAAAGTGCTACACAGTGCAAATAAAATCAAAGATAAAAATCAACAACATAAAAATCATGTGGAGGCAGAATAGGCTTGCTTAAATAAAAAAGTCTTCAAGCCTCTTTTATTAGGTTTGGATACCATAGTTTTATTTCCCAAATCTCCTAAAGGTTGGGGTGGCTCCTCTCATCTATTTATTTCGTTTCCACAGCTTCTTTGTGCGTGTGCTTCAAATGTTATAAAGTTTGATCAGCCCTTAAGTCTGGCAAACGTTGTTCACCCATCCTTAGAACATGTGCGTTCGAACATTGCTTTTTGCCTTTGAATAACCTTATAAAGACAAGATCGATCTTTTCTTTATGTTGTGTTGTGTCTCACTTCTTGATAATTGAATGTTTCCATAGCAGTAATCTAGTCAAAGTATGGAGTTAAATACAATTTAGATGCTGTAGATTGACCTAACCAGTCCATGGTAGAATTATGGCCAATTTATGCTTCTGACAAATAGCCTCTGCAACCATCAAATCTGTCTCTGTGGGTGACCACACCCGACGCGCAGAGGTTCTGCAACCGTCGTTGCACACCTAAAAATAATCCTGCCTGCGCGTCGGACGATCACAAACCTGCGCAAACCTCAAGCGGAAGTGCGCCGACAAAAAGCAGCTGTGATTGGTCCTTGGCATGCCTTTCCGACTGTCTGTGTGTTCGCCCTTCTGGATTCGGTTCAGGGGCGCGCCATTTTTAAAAACCGAGGAACAATGGACAACTATGACGAAAGGTTAATCAAGGAGGTTCGGAAGAACAAGTAGGTTCGGAAGTACGCTTGTACGATGCCTAGGACAAATTATATCAATAAATAAATAAATAAATAAATTTCAAATATTCAACAATGAAACAGGCAAGAGTTTCCTCACCTAATGTAAAAATAAGCATCGTCCAAGCGTTCTGCAGTTCTTTGAAATAGAATGCGCTCAAAGCAGCGGGCGAGTAATGGTTATTATTACCTGCAAGCATGCTGTTGTTCCTAATTACAGCTCTTGTAATCACTGGCGTCAATGGTAAAAAGCAGGGTGGAAATTTTAATTCCTAAATGACCCAAAGCCTGCTCTGAGACCATGCAAGTTTAGTAGATAATCAACACGGTCGCTGTAATGGCTTAGTATTATGTGGCTCAAATGGTCCAAAATGGGAGGAAGAGGCACACAGTCAGACACAAACTGAGAAAGGAAGCTCCAAAGAAGGACTCACATGTTTCTGCAGATTGGCGCTCTTCGAGTCAACATCGTACCTGTGGAAAAGAAAAAAAGGGAGGGTCAGTGCTTTCCTAACAGATATAGAGTGGATGGATCTCAGCTGGGAATGCTGCAGATTACAGGGAGGATAAATAAGTAATGGGACTTAACAGCTTGTCAGCGAACACCCAGCTCTCTGCTCTGGGTATTCTGCATCCCAGCATGACAGCCTTACAAGCCTTCTCCATTAAATGCACGCTAAACAGACTAATTGGTATTCGCACACAGGACTGTAAAATGAGTGCTTTGGGAAGTGAAAGCGGCAAAATCAAACCAAAATAGGCCACGATGGGGAAGTTGATGAGCCAGCGGTGTTGTTATTCTACACTAAATGAGATTTTAAAAAGTTCAGTTTAGACAACTGGACGTGAAGTTTTTTTGGAAGACGTTTAGCATATCATCCAAGAGGCCTCTTCAGTTCTAACTAGTTGTGGGGACCACTGAGATTAATATACTGTAGGTGTAACAAAGAATCAGGGAGGACAAAAGGTGGTTCTCATCTCTCCAACTGGATTGGAAAACAAGGACACATGGGTGGTGTTAATGATTATTAGGTGGTTCTGATGGGTCGTTAACTCCCTCTTAAGAGTGGTATCACATCACTGAAGTGTGAGTCAGGTGGGGTAGGATATCCAGGTTTTTTCTATTTTCATTACACTATCACAAGTACAGAGCAATGAAATGAACCCTCTGCATTTAACCCATCCCCTTGGGAGCAGTGGAATGCCATTGTGTGGCGCCCAGGGAGCAGCGTGGGGTTAGTGATGGGATTAAGGGTCTTGTTCAGGGAGCCAAAGAGGCAGTCTGTGGGAATAGGGTTCCAACCTCACTCCCAATCAGAACCTCAGGATTCCAAGCCCAAACTACTAGGCTGCCATTCCCCTCTCTGTCTCCTTGAAACTCCCAGGAGAGGAATCTTCAGGGTATTGTTCCTAAAAGTTCTTTGTAAGTAAGTGAAAGGTTTGCATCCAGTTGCCTAGACTGAAATTGTCCAAGTTTGACTGTGATCTAGATGACTGAGAATCTTCACAGACAAATTAAAATGAAGCTTCATTACACTGAAGCTACATGTAACTAGTTAAGCTACAACAAAATGACAAAGGTACTCTATCTTAACTACATCAAAGCTTTATTTTTCTATTGTCAAACTTCCTTCTTTCCAAGTCATTGCTGTCAAAGAAACTGTGACAAACAGATCAGATCAGTTCAATTGGTTGTGCAACTCTTCATTCTCAACACAACTAGCGATTTTCACATTTTAAATTCAACTTTACAATTCAGGTATAAATGAACATTTAATTCTAAGATTTTTGGATAATCATGCATCTTATAGCCACAATATCAATGTCTCAGACTATTATAGCAGCTGTGAGTAAGACAGTAAAATTAGTGTAAATTAGCCTTTAGTTTTAATTCAATTTTGGATTGAACTCTTTGCTTTTTATTTGAATTCATTTAAAGTGGCTAAAGCAATCTGTGGATTTCATCTTGGATTATGTAGGGATCTGTCTGTGTTTACAACAATATTTATTAGCCCCATTTTGAACTACTATCATCTACACAAATATTTATATTGACCTCAATTTTGTTTTGTAAAATACTGTTCTGCTTCTCCTAATTTTTCCTACATGAATTATTTTTGTATACACATGCATTTATAACGCACTCATACATGTGCACCTGCAGGTGCATACACTCACACACAATGGTATTATTTTCCTTTCAAAGGAAATGTTTTTTGGCAAGAACTATGTCAGCTGTTTATTTTTGCTGGCTGAGTTTTGGTGACCAGCTCAGCTAACTGTGTTAACTTTAGCAAATACCTGAATGCAGCTGCATGTATTTCCTTAAAGCTGAAGTCTGTAAGTTTTAAAAATCACTTTTTTGTCATATTGGCTAAAACTGTCCCTATGCCCAGACAGCAGTACATGTGATATGTAACCTGTGAAAAAAACTGCTTCAATTGGTCCCGCCTACTGCCTGTATTTCAATCTGGAAAGAATAATTTGGGACGAGTCAAAACAACCAATCACAGCCAGAGGAGCATCTGATGGAGTGTCAATCACAGCTCACACACGCTGAATCCCCCCCCCCCCCCCCCCCCCCCCCCCCCCCCCCCCCCCCTTCTGGTCGCATGCGGTAGCCGCGCAGATGCTGTGAGAGGGGCTGGAGCTTGGAGGTGGGGCATGAGTGAAGCAGAGAGGGTGGGGGAGTGGCGTGAAACCTGTTTTTCTTCAAATTTTCAGTCGAAGTCTGCTCTCTCCTCAATGTTACAGACTGCAGCTTTAAGTTTGTGTTGGACATCCTTCAGCTCTGCCTCCTCCATTGTCTCTAGCTGATCTACCTACACTGGCTGCATTAGATCATTCTCGCCGGCATTTTTTTAAATACACAGTGTAAGGCGGAAACCAGGATGACAGAAACGCAAAGTTAAAATGCCGCTATAGTCCAGTGACGTTGCCTCAGGAGACAAGGAGGAGAGATGTGTCTATGGTCTAGAAATTACTGGGAAAGGAAAATTGTGACACCATTACGAAGAAAAGCACTTAAGCTAGTAACAGTCCTAATACCTATTTTTTGTTTAATAGAAAATGATAAGCATTTTTTTTATGTTTTGTTACTATACTACTTACTACCATACAAGAAGTGGGCAGGGTAAACTGTATAGCAACTCCTTTAGAAGGCCCAGATTTCTTTTGTTGCATTAAAAGTAGGTTTTCCTGTCAGCAGATTCTTTATTCTAGGTTTTGGATCTCTGCAGCTCCTCCACAGTTACCTCTTGATTGGAATTTGATCAAGCATTGACATAAACTTTAAATCCTAGTGATTATATTGACTGCATTGGATTGGTGACCAATTAAGGGTGTACTCCAGCTTTGGCCCATCCACCATCCAACGGATTAAGAGGGAGAAGAAAAGGTTAAACACTTTCAATATAGAGAGATCATGTAGGTCTGGTTGCTATGTTTGAATTGCACATACTCAACATCTGGGTTTTGTAATCAGTGGAATGGCTTCTGAGAATAAGGAGTGTTCTCTGGCCTTGTTACATCTGACTGGATAAAATCAATTCAGGTACCCGTGTGCAAGAGCAAAACGGTGGTAAACAGTTCTATTCATCTTGTGGAGCCCAGTGATGTTGACCCTGGCTCCAGCTACAGGAAAAGGATGGTGTCTGGAACAGTGATAAATTTATGAATATGTCATGTGCTTCTGGGGGAAAGTATACATTGTATGACAGTGTAAAATGTTGAAGGTTCTTGAAGATGTGTATGTGATTAAGCACGGCTGTTAATTAAAAGCATCTTCCCCTTTGGAACACAAGAGATGACCGGTGTTGAATACTTTTTTCTTTCTGGACTAATGTCTCTCCATTACTAACCTGACCCATAGTCCCGCCACGCAACGTCTTTTTTTCGAGGGAGTCATTTGTCCGGGAATGCTCCCCTTGGCTCTGAGGAACAGCAAGTCATCAGACAAACCATTTACTCAGTAATCTGAGATTATTCCACACCTCAGGTCATTTCCCTCAGCTCTAAATATGGATTGCCCTTTGCTGACTCATGCTTAGGAGAAATCAGTAGTTACCTCTTGAGATGTCCAGGATCTGACAGGTTTACTCTCCACTGGGAGTAGGCAATGGGCAGGTTCTACAGTAATCACAGCCTGTTTAATAAATGTTGTGTCTCCTAATCTGGATTTATAGATCTTATGAGTAACACGTACATTTTCTTATAAACACGAAACCTGGTTAAAAATTGTGTCATGGTTTTCAACAGTCGAACTTTCTCAGATTTAAAGGTACTGCTCTGAGTACTGCTACTGTAATAGAAAAACAAAGTAGTCTGATTGGGGCCTTTAAAACCTGTTACAATGCAATGCTCTCAGGTCAGAACAAATCACTAGACTTCCACCATGTACAGTTTCATCAGACACTCTCAGGCTTCAGAATAAAACAGGGTTTGACAATATTCAATAGTTGGCGGCCAGACGTAGAATATGTGTCACGTTTGCAATTTCTCTCATTGATTGTTTTGTTTCTGCTTTTAGGGTCATTTAAAGCTGGGTATCCTTCCTAAAAAAACAAAATAAAAATAAAAATAAAATATATATATACATATATATATATATATATAAAAAAATAATATATATATATATATATATATATATATATATATATATATATATATATATATATATATATATATATATATATATATATATATATATATATATATATATATATATATATAGGGAATGTTTTTGTCTTCGTGTTTTTTTTCTGCCTTTTTCACTGTCTAGTCAACAAATTTAGCCTGGGCTCACATTTCCCGACACTTTATGACACACAGCTGCATATCATGTCTTTTCTTTTTTCAATATGTTTCCACCTTTGGTTTCAGCTCATTCATTGTTAAATTTAATGAATCTATCAGTCCTGAAGCTGTTTTGTTTCACTGATCTTACTGATTGTCCTTTCATTTTCTCCAGAACCTGTATGTTGTTCATAAAACGCTTACAAATTCCCAAAGTCTTTGCCGTGAAAGACTTTTAAAAATATGAAACACTAAAAATGTTATAAAAATATTGTTAGGGTTAAATTGTTTTGCATGCACAAAAACAAAAAAATTAGACAAATTTTTAACCAACTGCCATAAAAGTAGCTGAATGAAAAAATAGTTACTGAGACAAGTATTCTATTAAATACAATTGACAAGTCACTGTGAATTTATACCCTAAATTTCATAATCCGTACACCGATGTTTCCACATTCAGAGACTGTGCAGAGTGGCTACAATAATCCTCCCAGTCAGAGGGTGGTGCCAAACACGCAGCAGAAAAAGAAACACAAAAGTCAATGTAGCTTTTTAGTAGAAAATGGAAAACCATGTTTGAGAGAAACAGATCTATTCTTTTTTTCTGTATGGCAATATAGTATTTATCTAACCGAGGTACAAATGGCAAAAAAAAGTGAGACTGATCAGCTAGTTTTTTG